AGCCTCCTTCTTGGAGCTGGAACAGGCCAGCTACTAGGTGGCATAGGGGGCTGCCCTGCCGCCTCCCCCAGTTGTGCAGAGATAAATCGAGGAATCCTTCAGTCAGGGTCACGGTTGCGCTCAAGCTGCCTGGGCGATGGCAGCAGATCCATCCTGTGGTCTCCATGGGCAGCCCGCAATGAACAGTTCCAGGATCTCCTGCTCCATGATGCGAGCCTCCCCTTGAGCGGGCCTGGGTTACAGCCACAGCCTCGCTGAGTTGACTAGCGTAGGGGAAAGGCTAGTCCTTCAGCCCCATCCGACCCTCCCAGAACCGCCAGCGATAGTCCTGTGGTGCAAGGCCCTGTTGGACATCTGCAAAGCTGCTGCTCACACGCGGGCAGGCTGAGAGCCACTGCATGGGCTTTACCAGACAGCAGCGGGAGCAGAATCAGCACTTACTCCTCCTCCAACCAATGGTACACCACCGCCATGGCCCAAAAGACCTCCAGGAAGGCGTGGAGGGGGGGGGGTCGTCTCCCTCCCCCATACAGTAGAGAGACACTGGCGAGGGCCAGCCCAAGCTACCAGACTTCCCAAAAGCCCCATCCAGTGCTCAGATTGGTCCTGCAGTTGTTCCAGCTGGTGGCTAAACACCACCTCCTGCTCCTACTGCATACCCGCCAGCTCAGCCACCATCCAGGCGAGCGCCTCCACTGGCTGGGCCGGTCTTGGTTCTGCCAGTGGAGGCGCTGGGTTTTGGCACCACTGTGGAAATGATGTACCCACCAACAGCGTTTGCAGTTGCACACGTTTTTATTTGCACTGTTTTTAACTGGACAACTTTTCATCTGCCCTGCTTGTAGCCCTAGGTCCCACCTCAGGTCCCAGCACATCTTTTATCGAGGAGGCATGACTAGATGATGGAGCTCAGGTTTGAGTCAGCCTCACACCTGAGGCTGACTCCGCACCCTGAACCCTCTGCTCCACCCCTCCCCTGCAGCTGAGCCACAAACCACACCCTGCCACATGACTCAACAGCATTTTGAGAATGTCTGTGTGTCTGTCTGACTGTCTGTCCACAGTGAAGCCATCTAAGCCACAGTGCTGGATGGAGGGCAAATTCTTGGAAGGCAGTGATGTTAAGATGAGCTGCAAGTCCGCTGATGGCTCTGATCCTATCCATTACAAATGGGAAAAAGTACAGGACGAAGGCAAATATGTAGACAAGCTGCCTCCACTGACACTGATAGGTAAGTCTGTCAGATGTACCTAGGCCTTTTTAAAACAAAAATTTAAACCTTGAAATGAAGCAAAAAAGAACAAAAAACACACATCATTGTGATGTGGTAGGGCATCATAATGAAAACATAAAAAGTGTGTTGTACAGCTCTCTCCATGCCCAAAATATATTTACCTCGATCTGGTCAACTTTGACCTTTGTTTATCCAACCTCGGTACTCACGTCCCCTAAGGTCAAGTGTATTGTTCTGGAAGATGATCTATAAAAAATTGCAGGTAATATAAACTGTTTAATGATTTTCACATTTGGTGTTACTGACCTTCAACCAATTTTCAAAAAATCCACCATGATGCACAATCTGAAAAATGCTAAACTGTGGACACTAGATGCTGTGCATGCTAACATAAAGACAAACAAACAGAACCGATTACATACTCGTTTTACTGCATAGTCATGTTTCAGCTCTTAAAGAAATGAAGACTTCTGACTAATCTAAGTTATTCTGTTCTCCTTTTATCTTTTCCAAGTACATTTAGCTTGCATAAAGAATCTGTCAAAAGTATTTACTTTTTAAGAACAGCAAAGATTTGTACAATGGCTATGGCTATTTCTTTATGTGAACTCATCTTTAAGTACATTTATTTCAATAGAAATCAACTCTTTTTCAAACAACACCATAAAACAGTAGTGCACTCTTAGATGCTGTCTTGTCATTCTTGGTACATCAGATTTCAAAACCCCAGAGATTGTGGCACTGAGGAATTTGACCAAGGACAATGCCGGACTCTACAAATGCACAGCCAGCAATGATGTGGGAGAAGAGAGCTGTACAGTGGAAGTCAA